GCATCATTTAAATCAAGTTGTATTTAAAATACTCATGGAATTCAGATGTTTAGTGATCAAACCAAATAACATGGCACATTCCAGATCTTATAAAATGACACAGGTCTGGTAAGTGCGGGCTCTTTTAAAAAAATAATGTTCACACTTTCTTCTAATAACTATAAAATGTTTTTGTCGTATCTTTAGAATATTAAATTGAACTATACGTTTACCGACGAAAGAGAATTTCTCAGAAAATCGCTGAAGGTTTCTTGGATATTTCGTGTAAAATGTCATTTTCTTAGTCAATTTTAATTTAAGGGAAAAGCCTGTTTTTTTTTTTTTAAACTATTTATTTATAAAAGGGGCTATAAAATGGAGACGAGCCAGTGAATCGAAACGAATTGTCGAGTTGGACAAAGTGGGTCCCATTTACTCCTCTACCAAAACTTTTTTTTGCTCTGAATCTTTTTTCTTCCTTCTGCGAAACCAAATAAATCCTTGTTTTGTTCGACCCAGGTGCTTCTTTTGATCATCATCTACAGTTTTTTTTTTTCTTGTTTCTGGGGAATTTGTGAGGATTATCTTCGATGGGTAACTGCTTCTCCGATGTGTCTTCCGGTGCTGGTGCTATAGCCGGCGTTGGTGGAACTGCTTCCTCCGCCGCTCTCGGCGGCGCTACTAACGATGCCGTTGATTACTATCTCAAATCTCGAGGTTTCAATGGACTCTTCTCTCAGATCGAGGTACCTTCTTCTTCTTCATCGTCTCTAATTTCTACGTCATGCGAAATAGTACTTTTTAACAGCTATCGTTTATGTCATGTATGCTTCGTTTGATTTTTTATCGTTTATGTCATGTACCTTAGGGTTTATGTCCTGATAAAGTTTCTGTTTTTTTTCTTTGCAGCTATCGTTTTCTGCTTCCGGTTTGCGAGACCGGGACGTGCTCTCCAAGGTTGGGCTCCTCTCTTCTTTTTTCTTCTTCTTGGTTTTAGAGTTGAACATGACCTTTAGCTAAAGGAAACGTATCTATGAAATTGCCTTGTTATAGCTAGTCATTTGATATCTTCCAGTGGATATTCTCTAGTCCGGTTGCTGATAATTCCCATTGAAATGGAGTTTACATGAACTTAGGGTACTGCATTATGCATCCCTTTCAAGACAGAAAGAAATGTGAAATATTGTTCATGACATTGAGCGGGTTGCATTCTCCGAAGCTCTGAGATTCTCCATGATGTGCCTTGCACGATAGATGAAAATTCAAAATGTTGTGGAGAATTATCTTTCTTGAAACCTTAGACAATTGATGAATCGATATTACCTACATTCTTCCTGGATTTATGGCCTACTTTTACTTGCTGTGGCATGACAAACTTTTGTTTATCGCAGAGCGATCCTATGGTGGTTGTTTATCAAAAAGAAAAAGATGCAACACTTTCAGAAGTGTTCCGCAGCGAAGTTGTTTTGAATTCCTTAGCTCCGACATGGATTAAGAAATTTACAGTCGCTTATCATTTTGAGACTGTGCAGACATTGGTGTAAGATTATAAATTCAATGCTACTGAGGAAAGAGATCAAAGTTCTTACCTTTACCTGAATATATATAACTCAGCTCTGTTGGTTGTTTATATTCAGGTTTCGATTGTATGATGTTGACACCAAGTTTCAAAATTCGAAAGAGGAGGTAATGGCTAATTTGCTGCCTGCATGTTCATTCCGATCTGATGTTCTCTTGTATGGTGTATGATTTTTTTGGGGTCAACACTGTAGCTGTTGTATGCATTCATATGTACTTTCTTCAAATGTGGTTACCAGCACCCACATGCTTGTGTCATAACATGCATTTTTCTAGATGAATATCAGGAAATATATGGTTGGATAGTTGTTATGCGCAACCTATTTTCGTAAAGAATGTAAAATGTGTAATGTACTTACTACTGAAGTTTTACTTTTCAGATGCTTAAGCTTGACGAACAACAGTTTCTTGGTGAGGCAACATGTGTATTGTCTGAGGTATTATCACTGCAAAAATGCTTTCCTTTCTTATTTTCCGGATCGGATATTAGCATTGGAATACATGTGGACTTGTTTGCTGCTTCTCTGAGAGTCGCAGAAGAAATTCATTTTATTGCCTAGCTTATAAAGGAGGAAGAATTAACTTGTGTACCAAATTGCTAGAAATTATACTTACTATATATTATCTTTTCAACCACGCAGATAATCACAAAATCAACTAGGACAATCACATTAGAACTCAAGCCTAAAGAAGGCTTTTCTGCACAGACTCAGCCTCACCACGGAAAGCTTATTATCCATGCGGAGGAGTCTCTTGCTTCTAAGATTACTACAGAGATAGTTTTTAGATGTATGAATTTGGAGTCTAAGGATCTTTTCTCAAAAAGTGTAAGTTTGCGGATTTATTCTCTCTACCATTTTACTAAAAATATAATGAAGGCATAAATATGACACTTTTTCTTGTGTGTGTGGCTCATCCTTAGGATCCCTTTTTGGTGATATCAAAGATTGTAGAGCATGGGACTCCAATCCCTGTGTCCAAAACTGAAGTCCTGAAGAATAATCTTAACCCGATTTGGAAACCAGTCTTTCTAAGTGTTCAACAAGTGGGAAGTAAGGTACAGGAGATTTCTTATATCTGAGTTTATCCAAAAATATGTAATGAATAAATAGAAAACCTCTTTCTTTGTTCGAGATGCATGTTGATTCACAGAAAAATAATCTCAATTTTCTTCTATAATCCTGCAGGACAGTCCACTGATAATAGAATGCTCAGACTTTAATTCCAATGGCAAACATAATCCGATTGGGTAACCAAAATCTTAGAGCTCGGTCTATCACATTTTTTTGTGACTTTGTTAGCTGACATGATTACTCGTTTATTTTGGGTGGCCAGAAAAGTTCAGAAATCGCTTTCAGACTTGGAAAAACTTCATTTGGCTCGCCAAGGAATCAATTTGTCTTTGCCTACCGGTGCTGGACAAAACAAGGTATAAACCTTTACTAAAAGGTTTCCTAACATTTTCATGCCTTTTCATGTTAACTATCTAATACCATTTATCGTTATTTTAGGTGTTAAAGAGCCAGCTTTTTGTGGACAAGTTTACCGAGACGGTTCAGCACACATTCCTAGAATACTTGGCATCTGGGTTTGAATTAAACTTCATGGTAGCAATCGATTTCACAGGTATGCATTGCACCACCACTAAAAGTTTCGATTGAATGTGTAATGTTGTTGTTACCTGTCACTAATCTAAACTTTTATATTGTTCTTCAGCTTCAAACGGAAATCCACGCCTCCCTGACTCTTTGCACTACATTGATCCTTCAGGACGGTTGAACGCCTACCAAAGAGTGAGGACTCAGTGTTATTAAATTTATTTAGAATTAGCAGTGAATGTGACTAAAACCATCATGATGATCTCTTCCTTTTACTCAGGCAATAGTAGATGTTGGAGAAGTGTTGCAGTTTTATGATTCAGACAAACGATTCCCTGCCTGGGGATTCGGAGCTCGACCAATTGACCGTCCAGTTTCACATTGCTTTAACCTCAACGGAAGCAGTTCATACTCTGAGGTAAACAAAATCGACTTGCGTACTGTATCTTCAAAATTAAAACTTGGATGTTTTCGGAATTCACACCCCAATTGTTTCTTTTCT